GAATGCATTTTTAAATAATATTACTTTTCTTAATGAGTACAAAATGAAGGCATCTATCCCAGCTGTAGGGACAGAAATAACTGGAGTCATAACCAATGTTCCCACTAATCTTTCTAATTCAAGAATTTTTGGTATGTTAACGACTTACAGGAAGATAATATGTGTTAAAAAGATAATGAGGAAACATAAGAATGATGCAGGACGCAGTTTGCTGCAGCCGACGGGCACCGTGGCCATCAAATTCGCTTCTAATATTTTGCCAGACCACGTCGATCTTCATGGTTGGCGATTCGTGGTAAATCAGTACATTCCACCAGTGAAGCAGTGCTACAATTGTCTGAGGTATGGTCACTTAGCAAAGTATTGTAAAAATTCTGTGAAATGCTCAATTTGTACTGAAAATCACAGCTACAAAGATTGCCAAGTCTCTTCAGATAAAGCGATATGCATACATTGCAAAGGAAACCATCTAAGCATTTCTGAACAGTGTCCTGTTAAGAAACAAAAGATAAAAGAAAATCAGGCTAAACTACACAAAACCCCATTTGTAGACCTTTTTAATAAAAACGAATTCCACGAATTAAACAAAAAAATTCCCAAAGATGCTCTTATGTCACTGCTAAAGAATGATGACATTATTAATATAATTTTAAATACAGTCATTAAAGTATTAACTCTTAATAAATCAAATGAACAAACCACCATATCTTCTCAGCTTATTAAAGATGTTCTCATAGATACAATGAAACCAAAATAGATAATTCATTATTTAACATTTAATATTTTATGGATCAGTTTAACATTTTACAATGGAATGCACAGAGTTTAATTAAAAATCGCTTTCAATTTACACAATTTTTATATGAGAACACCATAGATGTTGCTCTCATATGTGAAACTTGGCTTAAACCTAGTCACAATTTTAGAGTAAAAGGTTATAATATTATACGATTAGATTCAGGTAATGATCGTAATGAAGTAGCAATACTTCTACTAACAAAATTGGATTTCGTGTTATCAATACATTCTCTGATGACTCATTACAAAATATAGCTGTACAAATACAATTAATTAAATTATTAACTTTAGTTAGTGTTTACTGTCCCCCTAATTCACCAATTAATTATAATAAATCCAAATTAGATAATTTAATCCAAAGTTTGCCACAGCCAGTCTTTATAGCTGGTGATTTCAACGCCCATCACACATTACGGGGATGTACTGAATTAGATTCACGAGGTAGGGACGTTCTTGCAAGTATAGATGACAACAATCTTGTAATCTTGAATGATGGTCAGATGACTACAGTAGGATCTCATAGATGGAGACAGAACACATTAGACTTAACACTTGTTTCATCTTCACTGGCTATGTCTTGTGAGTGGCAAGTATGTGATGATGATTCTCTAGGCAGCTATCATTTTCCTGTAAAGACAAAAATTACGGTCAATAATCAAAATTTTCAAGAAACAGCTGTATTAAATAACATAAACTTAAAATTGGTAGATTGGTCAAAATATCCATATTTAATAGATAATTTAATTAAAAATTATAGTTTTGATTATAGTAATCCTTTACAATGTTATACAGACTTAATATAACTAATTAAACAAGCCATGCATGAATCCACACCATCCAATCAGTCTTCTAATCGAAATGTTAACACCAACTTGAAATCTTTTAAAAGAATTATAAAAAAAATCTCTACCTTGTTGGAATTTAAAATGCGAAGAGGCAGTATTAAATTGTAAAAATGCATATTTAGTATTTAAAAATGATCCCACAGAACGAAATTATATTAATTTTAAAAGACTACAAGCTGTTAAAAAAGTTACTTTGAAGACTGAAAGACAGCTTAGCTGGAAAAAACTATGTGAAACTTTTAATAGACCTACACCATTGACTAGAATATGGAATTACATTAAAAAGTTTAACAAAACTTTTGTTCATAATAACACATCTGTCATAGATTCTAATTGGGCTAATGAATTTTTGAAAAAATATACTCCTGAAACAGATGAAACACCTCTAACCCCTCACTCCTCAAATGATAATCATTGTGATTATCTTACCAAACCTTTTACCTTGACCGAATCCAATTCAGCTGTTAACTCTAGAAAAGACACTACTTGTGGTTTAGATTCTGTTCCATATAAAGCTTTAAAAAATATGAATACTGCGTGTAGAGAACTAGTTTTGAAAATATAGAATATGTTATGGTTTCATTCACTTATTCCTAACGATTGGAAAGAAGATTGTTTGATACCCATTTTAAAGCCTGGAAAAAAACCTCACATTGCAGAATCTTATAGACCTATAGCACTTACATCTTATATTTGAGCAACTTATAAAATCTAGATTAGAATTTTATCTAGAAAAAAATTGTCTTTTACCATCAAATCAGTTTGGATTCAGACGCCGTAAGTCATCTAGAGAAAGTATTGCATTTCTACATTTAGACATCTTTAAAGCTATGGAAAATAATGAAGTATTAATTAGTATATTCTTTGACATTGTTGGTGCATTTAATAACGTTAATCTTCATGTTCTCACCGCAGAGTTGATGTCTTTGAGCATTCCTGAAAAAATTGTAAAATGGATATTTAACTTTTTACATGAAAGAAGAGTTTTTGCTAAAGTTAATAATAATAATACAATTATTGGTCCTAGGCTCAGTTATAAAGGTGTTTGTCAAAGAGGAATATTTAGTCCTCTTACCTTTATTTTATACAAATTTAAATTAAACAATATTTTAGGATCAAATGTTACTAATTTACAATATGCAGATCATTTGGTCATATATGCCTCAGGAACAAATGTCAAAAACTTGGTAACCACTTTAAATGAGGCTTTAAAGAAATAGCACATTTACTTTTCATACTTAAATTTAGATATTAGTAGTGAGAAAAGTAAAGTCGTAATATTTAATAAAATTCGTCCATTTAACACTGGAATAATTTATAATAATACATTTTTACCAATAGAAAGTTGTGCAAAATTCTTAGGTGTAATTTTTACAAATAATTTATCTTGGACCAAATACGTGAATTCTATTTCAGACAGAGCTTCTAGGGCCTTTAATGTATTAAAATTAAAAGCTTTGGCTAGTACGAACTGGGGAGCTGATCCAGAAATATTATTAATGTTATATAAGTCTTTGGTGAGGAGCCATTTTGAGCATGGCTTCCTTTGTTTTGCATCAAATAAAAAACTAGTAAACAAATTAGATATTAACAAAATAAGAATTTAAGACTTATTACCGGCTCTATGAGAACAACTCCTATTGTTTCTTTACAGGCTGAATGTCTTACTCCTCCTATCTTACTTAGGTTTAAATATCTGAAATTTAGGTTTTTATTAAATATTAATTCTTTGTCTCATCATCCTCTTTTTCAAAAAGTATTATTTTACTATAATAGTATGTCTCCTATATCTAACTCAGCCCCATATATACTCCATGACTTTCATGAAGTGATACGATATGATGAACAATATAATATTCACAAAAGCACACATACTTGGCCTTGTCATAAGGGGAATTATGAAAGTAAATTTAGTGATATACACATAAATATTGATGAAAAATTGAAAAGAAAAGAAGAGGTTTATGAATTTATATCTACATATGATGTATATCGACAAATTTACACAGATGGTTCAAAAGTTGAAAATAAAGTAGCCTGTGCATTTTAGATACCTCATCTGAAAACTGGACGTGACCTTTCCATTCCTGCATCAGTATACATTGCAGAATGTTACGTTGTCTTAATCGCTCTTAAATATATAGAACACCCACATGTATCTAATAAATGGTTACTGATCTCTGATAGCATGAGTGTCTTGAAGGCAATGAAGGCAAGAGCTTTAGATGCTAAAACGTCTTTCATCATATATGTAATCAAAAGTTTGTGGTGGAAATTGAAAGAAAATAATTTGGAAGTAAAATTTTTATTGACTCCGTCACATATTGGGGTTCAAGGAAATGAAAGAGCAGATCATTTAGCTAAAAGTATAGTTACAGCTGATATTGGCATGATAACCGATGTTGCAATACCACATACAGATTTATATTCAATTTTAAAACAAGAGTTAAAAGAAGAATGGAAAATGCAATGGAATGCTGTTTTAGAGGCAGGAAAAGGTCGTTGGTATGCATCAATTAATTCAGAATTAAGTATTCCTTGGTTTTCTCACAACGATATGCGAAGATATCATAGCAGAAAATATTATACAATAATGTGCAGACTTAGATTTGGCCACTATCGACTGAACGCTCATCTTTCCAGGATGAGAATAGTAGCATTTGTAACATGCAATTTCTGCGATACAGAAGCAGATCAGACTGCAGAACATATAATATTTAACTGCCCAGTGTACGCCATAGAAAGATTGCTACTCATTGAAAAACTTATAAAAATTTATGAAAACTCAGAAAGCGTCCCGCGTGCCCTGCAAGATGTTCTTAGGAATACTAAGACATATTTAGCACTTTGCAATTTTATTCATAATACTGTAAAAGAAATATGAAATATGGTATCCCTGTTTTTGAAAATATTGGATTGACAAATCTACATGGATTGAAACTTACAAAGAGTATAATATAAAGAAGACTTGGCTTTAGCCTTTACGGGTTTTTAAAAATATGAAGAATTAAAGAAAATAAGACTTGACTACGGCCTTTATGGATTTTGAAGAGATGGAAAGAAGAGACAAGGCTGTATGACTTAGTTCCTTTGCCTGCTCTCTCGAGCGAATAATAAAAACAACAATAATCATGTCATTTTCAGTTGTCAATTGCTGATAAGTAAACGCGGTCTATTGTATCCGGTTTTAAAACAGAAAATATACATTTATTAATCCATTGCGAATAGTGATTTATATACTCTTTGCATTTAAAGCAACTACACCTACAAAATGTTTTGTAATAATGTTTAATGTTATGCAAATAAAAGAAGTAGTATCACTTAAATTAAAAGTGTGTAAAGTAAAATATATTTAAAATGAGTGAAAAAGTTCAGTTTATTGATATCCTTGCTCCCATAAATACACAATTTGGAATTGTTAAATTTATGACTCGGCCATGGAATCCAAAACCAACTTTAATCATGGATAGTTATTACACTCCAGAAGAATTAAAAAAAATTGTAGTACGTTCAACGTACATAGATTCCTTTATCGAAGCGGTAAGAATCTCTATAGATATGTTTAATGTACCTAATAATTATTAAATTTATTTATTGTTGACATGAAACAGGAGATGGGCAGCAGCATCTTCGTGATAAATTCAAATTATAAATGTTTATCATACATTACCAGCCTATCCATAGTCCACTGCTGAACATAGTCCTCACTCCGTAAATTGCCTCATATTTGCCATAGTTTTCACGCTTGGGAGGCAAGTAGGCAACCACAGATTTTATTATTTTAAGTTTTCATCAGAGAAATACTGCTTCCCATCTTCAGTTTCATTTCCCTGTGTCACTTCTTACTTCATATGATACCCATGGATGATATAGGGTAGTGGATTATAGTGGGTATGGATAAAATTGGCAACTATGACAAATCCCCTCTGTGAAGCAATCCATGGGGGAAGCCCACATGCAGCTGTGGATTTTTATAGGAATATAATGGATGGATAGATATAAATTACAGATATCTTTCTGGAGAATTTCCACCCAGAGCACATAACACAGGGTGTTACGGCCCACAGCTGGCCCTACAAGGTTCAAATATCCCGGGGCCCATGAGCGGAAGATTCAACGGGCAGCCTAGGGTCGGGCCCAAATGGCCATATGGAAAAATGTCCTATCATACTAAACTATATGGTAGAAGGCCAGAAAAATATAGTAGTACATACCTGTATCCGAATCTAAGATCACCCCAAGGCTCGGTCAGGCCGTAGGTGGGTGTACGGTGCATGGAAAGTAGTGTTTAGTGATGTGTATGTGTCTGAGACCTGGCCCAGCTGAGGTGACCGGCAGCGGCCGATTTACATGCTGCCCCACAATGCTGCATCACTCCAGCAGGCTTCCCCGCTGGACCATTTCTGTCTTCATGTTACTAGTTCAGTCTATTAACTTCATTGTATATTTAACTAACTTAACTCGCCTAATTCCACATTCATCGTAGAATCGAACACGTGATACCCGACACAGTAACGGACAGTAGTTCAAAGTTCAACATTCAATGTCCCAGATTCAATTATCACCAAATTATAAATAGGGAACTAACGCGATCTCTTCATGAGTCACACGGTTCGGCGTTAAACACAACTAAGTTCCTTCGTTCGATACTAAACACCACGCCGCAATAAGAATTCAAATTTAACCTGACTGACACGCAAACTGGCTGCAGAGTTTTCAAAGAAGTTACTTTAACCAGTCGAACACAATACAAGCCTATTGTCAAGAACATAAACCCTAGACAACCTAATCCGAGGCGGTTTTCACAAAACCCCAATTACATGGCGAAGTCACACACACTAAATCTAGCAATCTAGACCGTATACCGGTCGCGCGAAACTTCTGCAGCGATAACCGAGATACGCGGATTAACCACACCGCTGCCAGCGAGCTACTCCCGACTTCGCACTCGCGTTCTGCGCCCACGCCCTCTGCCGAGCGACGCACACGGGAGTGGGGCAAGGGTGACCTTTACAAAGTCAGCGGGCGGACACTAGTGGAATGCAAATTTCAAATGTTAATTGTTTGGCCTAAACACAGGGGTTTCCTAAACTTGTAACGTAATGGAACACTCACCAAAACCCTTCTATTTTATGGAACCTCATATCAAATTATTACATAATGTCATGAGAGTGCAATTGAAATATCATAATATAATTCTTGCTTACTTACTACTAACATATCTATATAACAGCAATGGGTTCTTCTGTTCTTCTTGTCATAATATATAAGTTTGGGGAAAAAGATTCTTCTTATTTTATATACAAATTCAAGACTTTATTTTTCCAAAGTTTAATTACATTTAATTACAATATATATGTGCTATTTGGTCGATAACTTGTTGCCATCTTGTTGGTAGTGACATAATCCGGTTGCTGTAGAAATCTTGGGATTTTTGATCCAAAAATGCAACAAATAGTTTTCACAGTCCTCTCTTGATGTTAACCTAACACTACCCAAAGAATTCTGAAGAGATGGAAACAGGTGAAAATCTGAGGGTGCAAGGTCAGGACTATATGGTGAATGCATTAACAGTTCCCAACCAAGTTCTCAATTTTTCCTTAGTGGCCAAAGATGGGTGTGGTCTGGCGTTATTATCATGATGAAAGACCACTCATTTTCTGTTGATCAATTCTGGCCACTTCCCAATTTTTTGTTTGAGTCTCATTAGTTAGTGGCAGTAGGAATCCGAATCTATGGTTTTGCCTGGCAGTAAAAGCTCATAATGAACAATACCCTGCCAACCCACCATACACACGGATTTTGCTATAGTATGTGGAGCTTGACTACCCTTTGACCATGACCTTTTTCGCACATTCTTGTCGAAAGTAATCTACTTTTCATTACCAGTGATCAATTTCTTCAAAAATGGTTTGGTTTCATTTTGTTTGAATAGAGAACTGCAAATGAATACATAATTCATAAGGTTTCTTTCAGTGAGCTCGTGTGGTACCCAAATATTGAGCTTCTTTGTATAGCCAGACTTTCTCAAATTAGTCAAACTGTTTTGTTGTCAATCCCCAATTCCTCGGCTATGTCGTAACTATTAATATGTCAAATCTTGCTCCACTCAAAAATGGCATCAACTTTATCTGTATGAGGGCTGAGGAATCAGATGAAACTGAATATTTGACATCAAAATTCCCGGACTGAAAATGCTTGAAACAACTTTGTGCTATTCTTACTGATACTGCATTAGGTCCACATAAACATTACAAATTTTGTGTGGCTTGAGTCACATTATTTCCTTTTTTGTAATAAAATTTCAGAATGTATTGAATATCTTTGTTAGATTCACTCATTTTGGCGAACAGAAAAATAATTGAAAAATGGTGGGAAAGTAGTTTTTCTTTTTCTTAATGTCCTATATGTATTGATATTAAAACCAGCCAATTACATACAGTACAACCAAAGAGATTTTTCTTCAATTTTATACAAACAAAATATGAAGAAATTTTTACCCTGACTTATTATTTTGCACCAATTCAAAATAATATTTGTACTAAAGTATGAAATTATTTAACAAAATAAATAATTTCGCGACTTTTCCATGGAACCCACTTTAGGAATCTCTGGAATAAAACCACTGTCCGCTTTAAGTACAGCAGTACCAAATCTCATTATTTCGTCCAAATTCTTTATATAGGCAACATCGTCACTGTTTTGTTGTAAAGATTTTTATTTTCTTTATCTTTAGTCACTGAAGAATCTTGTAAGTCTATGCGTTTATAAGACTTCCTTTCATATTATTGACCCACTTATGTCCTAGTTGTGGAATTTCATTAGCTTATTCTTTAGTCCATCCTTTGAAGTTGTAAATTGAAATTTATTTGTTTTGCTGCTTGTCTTTTGGGCATCCCCTGTTTCTAATGGAGTATAAGCATGAAGTAGTAGGCCTTCTTTGCTCCAAGTCGCTTTGATGGTGGTGTTTTGACATTTTCTACATTACATTTTCAAAATTAAAACATCACAAATGGTTAAATAGAATACACTGTGGTGGCTCTCCAAACTAAAAAAAATTCTGCAAAGTGTTAATTTGTATCAGAGTTGAAGATAATAAATATACAGATACAATTATTTGTGAGTTTACTTCATTGCTGAATATAATGTCTTAGTTTCTACAATACTAATACAATAAATAAGTACTGAAGATTTGGACTTACCGATAAAACATCCAGTAAAAAGATAGAAGTGTCTGCAAACAATCACATGTACCTTACTTTCCCATTCTGCAACTTGCCTGATGTTATTTGTCACATGCCAAATACTTCAGACTCCACAACATACTACTATGCTTCATATTTGTCAAGTTATTTGCATGAGTGTTATTGTCTGATGAGCATAATTCCCCTGTGCTTCCCCTAAATTTTAGTTTAGATATAAATTCAACAAGGGATTCTTGTGAAAGACACACTATTTATGAATTAAAATAAATGAAGTACATATTTAATATGCAGTGATTTATGCTATATCTTGTATGAATTATTTTTCAAACTTGTTAAAATTGGCCTAATTACTCATCATTAAATCAACTGCATCTGTAACAGTATTTAGATTGAGATATATTATATTTATGTGAACACTACACATTGAATGAAACTAGTTTTTAAAGATGTTATAGTGTTTAGGCAACTTATTTTTATTTTACTGACATTTCAAGTTTGTGCGAAGAATCTCCGGGAGAAAAACCGGCGACGAGGTTCCGCCACCCGTCACGTCCTGTCTCCCGGGGGGGCGAAAAGTGGATTGCGGAGGCCCGTCTGGCTACGCTGAATGTATGTGGAGCAATGAATGATAAGATGGATGAAGTATGCGAAATGATGAATGATAGAGGAATAGATGTGTTATGTGTGAACGAGACGAAACGAAAGGGAAGAGATGTCACTGCACATGGCATGTATACCGCTTACTGGTCTGGAGTAGGCGAGACCGAGAGGGCATGTCAGGGAGTCGGTGTCATCCTTTCAGAAAGAATGGGTCAATGTGTGAAAGAGTATGAATGTGTTAGCCCAAGGCTGCTATGGATACGAATGAAAGTGGGCTTGAAGAAGTTGTTTGTGCTAGGGGTGTACGCCCCAGATATGTCTAAGCCCACTTATATCCGAGAGCAGTTTTGGGACATGGTAAGGCTGGTGTTGATGAAATGTAAGGAAAATGAAAATATTATTATGTTAGGAGATTTTAATGGAAGGGTTGGGGTGAAGAGGTCTGGTTATGAAAGGATATTAGGAACGTTTGGCGATGAAAGAATAAATGAGAATGGTGAAGACCTCCTCACCGTATGTGTGGAAAAGAATCTTTTTGTGGCGAACACTTTCTTTCGCCATAAGAGGATTCACATGTATACATGGGAAAGAGGGGATGATAGAAGCATGATAGATTTTATAATTGTGGATGAAAGAATGAGGAGCGCAGTGGTAGATACAAGGGTTTACCGGGGGTCCAACGTAGGGACGGATCATTACTTGGTCTTATGCCGAATTAATGGTCTATTCAGACGT